CTTCCAAGAGACAGATCAGTACTCCATGAATGTAGGCTGTGCACAGAATCTCCCTTTCCAAGTATACAGTACACAAATAGGGAAAAAGAGTAACTTTAGAATCATTTGACAAACTTCTTCAGCCAGGTGATTAAGGTCAACACCAACAGTGATAGATCGTGTTGAAAGTAGGTTCCCTCGAAGTGATGTGATGAAAATGATGTTTTTGCTCTGTGGTCTTCTGATCCCAACTCATAACCCCAGTGTAATCATGAGAGAGACATCAGACAAGTTGCAATAGAGGGACATCCTGCAAAGTATCTGACCAGTGGTTTTCAAAACTTTCAAGGTCATCAAAAATAAGGAACATCTAAAAGAGTTATAGCAGTGGAGAGGAGCCTAAGGAGACTTGACATTGCAGTGGAGAGGAGCCTAAGGAGACTTGAAACATAAAAGTAATGTGGTTTTCTGTGTGGGATCCCGAGACAGAAAAAGGACATTATGTAAAACTAAGGACATCTGAATAAACTGTGTGAATTTAGTTAATAATAACGTATTACTATTGATTTATTAACTTCATCAAGTGTACCATATTAACAAAAGACGTTAATAATGGGGGAAACTGGGCATGGGGTATATGGTAACTTTGTACTATCATCTTGATTTTTCTGTTAATCTAAAGCTTCTTAAAGTCTATTTAAAAAGCAAAATCAGGTTGGAGGATTTACCATTATTTGATTCCAATTACTATAAAGCTACAGTATTAATGGGTAAAAATAAAATATGGTGTTGACATGAGAGATATTTGTAGATGAATGAAACAGAACAGAGAATGTAGAACTGTATTTTTAAAGCCAACTGATTATTGTCCCCCCACCCCCACCCCATAAGGCACAAGCACTCGCTGGAGAGCAACTGAGAAAGACAGAGAAAAGGAAAGTAAGAAATAACTCCTTCCTCCTACCCTGACAGGGGATAGTCATGCTACAATCTTTTCTCCTCTATTCTTCTCTTGGGATTTTAGGCACACATGCACATGTGCCCAGCGTGATTTTCAAGCTGCCAGGTCTTGGACTTGCACTGTGGTCAGCCATGTGAGAATCCTCTTCCTTAACCACTAGCACACCACCTGTTGGCCCTGCCAATTGATTTTTTTTTTTTTTTTTTTAATACCAGAGGATGAGGTATACGTGTAATTGAAAAGGGAGAGAGAAAGAGAAGGATCCCTCCAATGGGGCCTGGTCATGTTTAATCCTTTTTTCCTCCTCTCTATCCTGTCAGGATTCTGAACACGTTGGGCACATAGTCACATGTTTTTCAAATTGCTGGGCCAGGACTCAGATCCTGGTAGGCTATGTGACTTTCTTTGTGAGATGCTTAACCTCTGTTTATGGGGCCAGCCCTGGCCAGTTGATTTTTAACAAAGAAACCAAGATCATTCAATGTGGAAAATAGAGTCTTTCAATAAATAGAGTTGGAATAATGGAATAGCTCTGGAAAAAGTTACCCTTAACTTTCATTTCACTTATTTTTCTCCAAACTTTTAATTTGCTTATTTCTAATCTGTGTGACTCAAAATGGCCCACTGACCTGAATGGGATATGAAATGATCAAGTGTGATGGTGTCAATCATAATTTCAGCCAACATTTACAAGCTAAATGATGTATAGTGTTGGATGTATAAAATAAATAAAAAAAATGTTATATTAAAAAAAAATCTCTGGCCAACTTGTCAAAGGGATAATTTTGGTAATTGGTTTAGAGGCCCTGAAAAAAAAATTAGGCAAAAAACAACTGTTAACACAGGACATGTTGGAAAACCAGTTAGCCTTGATAGCCAAGTTTAAAAAGACCTATGTTGGGCAAGCCCACATGGCATAGTGGTTAAGGGAGCTAGATTCCACATGGCTGACCATCCAGGTAGAGTCCTTGACTCAGCAGCTTAAGAAACATGCCAAGTGCGTGTGCATGTATAGCCAAAATACCTAAGGGATGAAAAGATGGAGGAGCAGGAATTGCAGTGTGACCATTCGCGGGGGGGTGGGGTGGGGTGGGGTGCTTTTTCCTCTCCCTTCATTACTGTCACTCTGTCTCTCTCTGGTGAATGCACCACACTCTAGCAAAATTAAGAGAGAAGAGAGAAAGAGAGAGACAGACTCATGTCTACTGTAGCCAGAAGACAGACAGTGCTTAAAGCACTGTTTCAATCATGAGGGTGGTAGGGCTACTGAGTGTGTAGGTTTGACAGGCCACATATACTCATTTAGAGCCATAAAAGGGAAGGAGTCCCCTGGACCCGGAATAGAGTCTTTATTGGAAGTACCTCAGGTGTGTGAAACTTCAGATGTTCTTTTATTTGGAGAGGTTTTTCCGATAGGGCATGTGCGCTCACCATAAAGACAGAGAGACAGAGAGACAGAAAGCGAGAAATCACCCCCCAGGGGAGGTGGCCAAGCTGTAATCCCTTCTCCTCCATTCTCCTCTTGGGATCTTGGGCATGCATGCACACATGCCAGCGTGAGTTTAAGCCACAGAGTCTAGGACTCGAACTGCGGTCGACTACCAGGGAGTAGCCTTGATAGCCAAGTTTAAAAAGACCTATGTTGGGCAAGCCCACATGGCATAGTGGTTAAGGGAGCTAGATTCCACATGGCTGACCATCCAGGTAGAGTCCTTGACTCAGCAGCTTAAGAAACATGCCAAGTGCGTGTGCATGTATAGCCAAAATACCTAAGGGATGAAAAGATGGAGGAGCAGGAATTGCAGTGTGACCATTCGCGGGGGGGTGGGGTGGGGTGGGGTGCTTTTTCCTCTCCCTTCATTACTGTCACTCTGTCTCTCTCTGGTGAATGCACCACACTCTAGCAAAATTAAGAGAGAAGAGAGAAAGAGAGAGACAGACTCATGTCTACTGTAGCCAGAAGACAGACAGTGCTTAAAGCACTGTTTCAATCATGAGGGTGGTAGGGCTACTGAGTGTGTAGGTTTGACAGGCCACATATACTCATTTAGAGCCATAAAAGGGAAGGAGTCCCCTGGACCCGGAATAGAGTCTTTATTGGAAGTACCTCAGGTGTGTGAAACTTCAGATGTTCTTTTATTTGGAGAGGTTTTTCCGATAGGGCATGTGCGCTCACCATAAAGACAGAGAGACAGAGAGACAGAAAGCGAGAAATCACCCCCCAGGGGAGGTGGCCAAGCTGTAATCCCTTCTCCTCCATTCTCCTCTTGGGATCTTGGGCATGCATGCACACATGCCAGCGTGAGTTTAAGCCACAGAGTCTAGGACTCGAACTGCGGTCGACTACCAGGGAGTCCAGCAACATAGCCATTACGCCAATGGCTGATCCTCAGATTTTCTAGAGTATTTCAGGCCAGTGGAAGGAGCTCTCTTTAGAGTACAGTTATCCCTTGCAAAATGTAGAATATCTTAACTGAGGCTGCTGCTTCCCAGGTTACTGCTTGTCCTCTTCAGGGTCTGTTTCTTCTACCTCTCATTACCTCCAGACCAATAATTAAGATAATGTCTTTGACAGAGTCAGGAGGGAAATTCTGTTTCTGTTCTGGGAGGAAACAGACTATTCACTGAGAGACTTGGACGAGTGCCAGAGGGTGATGAAGTGGTTAAAGCAACTGGATCCCACATGGATAACTGCACAGTTCAAGTCCTGGACTGGGTAGCTTGAAGAATAAGCTCTGCATGTGTGTGTGCATGGGTGCTTAAAATTCTAAGAGGTGAATAGAGAGGCTACCGCAGTGTGGCCTTCCTCCCTGGGAGGGGGGTGCTTTCTCTTTTTTGTGTATTCTCTCTCTGGCAAGAACACACATCCTATGGGGAAAAAAATTACAAAAAAGAAAAAAATAAAGACTATGGAGAACAATTTGGAGATTCCTCAAAAATCTACAAGTAGAACTGCCATATGATCCAGCAATCCCATTCCTTGGCATCTACCCAAAGGATAGAAGAATTCTTCATTGGAAAAGTGCTTTCACATCAATGTTTATTGCGGCACTTTTCATGATTGCTAAGACATGGAACCAAACCAAATGCCCCTGTATGGCTGAATGGATTGAAAAACTGTGGCACATATACTCTCTGGAGTACTATTCAGCCATTAAAAACAACAAAACCCTGGCTTTTGACAGAAAGTGGAAGAATATGGAAGATTTACTGCTGAGTGAAGCAAGCCAGGCTATGAAGGAGAGGCACTGTATGTCCCCACTTAATATATACCGAGTGTCCGCACTCTATAACTGAAGCTGACGGGCTAAAGGATGTACAAACACAAGAGATGGATGTGAATGCCAGATGTGGTGTGTGTGGAGGAGTGGGGCCTGAGGAAAAACATTTGGAGGAAGGATATGAAGACAGCATTGCTGAAACAGGGAGTTAGTGTTGTTATATTTTGATCAGTTGGACCGGAGAGAAATGTTCACATATTGAAGTGATCACCTTGTAAGCTAAATAATGTGATTGAATGTATTAAAAAATGTAAAAAAAAAAAAAAAGACTTGAAGGACCTGAGTAATATGTACTGGCATGGTCCAGGGGACGATGTGTGCAAGTGGGTCTTAAGGGCATTGAAGGCAAGGTAGGAGAAAATTTATTGGTATAAAGTACATCAAATAGGGAGTTAATATCTGGGCAAGAATACATAGAAATGATAGGCAGTATAAATTCTTATTAGTTTTAATATTAAGATCTAACTTGTTCACAAGACTTGGTCAAACAACAGACCAGATTTTTTTGTGAAAAAAAAAAAAAACCTGTTGGGAAAATGGGAAGTCTATCTAACACCCTTAGGTCACAATCCGATATTGCACCATGGGGTTCACACTGAATGAGGTGAAAGAATGGAGATTTAAGAATAAAGAATGCTATCCTCAGTTTAAGAATAATGGTGTTATCATCAGTAAGTCATGTGCACTGTAAAGATAATCCAAATCAAGTCCAAAAATATGAAGATAATTATTGCATGCACCATTTGGGATGCATGCAATGGTTTAAAGTCTATTGAATCAATCGAATTGATCCTTAGAAGAAAGATGCAATTGTCTTAAGGCATTATTGCTCTGGGATGCCGTGTTTACTTGTTAGAGTTGAACGTGATACTTCTGTGATGAGGTGCAATGGCTTCCTCTGATCTTTCAGGCTTTGTATTAGCACAGTTACAATGCCAGTCAATGTAATATAGTCATGATACTTTAAATAACTTTATTCTTAAATTTAACAAGCTTTTAATATAAATGCTTTGGTATCAATACAATAAAAATATGCTGGTTTTCCCCCACTAAATCATGTCAAGTAACTGGAAAGGTTAAGCATTTGTTCTCCCCAGCTTTTTTTGAACTTTTCACAAATAATGACTACTACTTATCCACATGGTTTAATATGGGTACAATGATAAGTCTTTGAATTTCAGGAAAAAAGGAGTAAAAATATTCAGAAGAAAAATTTGCAAACGTCTCTTAGTTTCTTCTCCAAGCGTTGTTTACACAGGTGGAATATGTCTCAAATCACTTTTTTCCCCAGTTTTGCCATTCTCAGCCTTAAAGCTGCAAATTAAAGGAAAAAAAAAACACAGAAAGTTATTTTTTAAAAAGCCTTCATGTTTACTGCAAATGGCCATTTCATAGAATGCAGGAAAGTTTAGAACATACCTCAGATGGTTTTATCCAACAATGTGAGCATTGTTTTAGTAGCACAAAAAGATAGCAGAAATAATAAGCTTATGGTTAACTTAGGGCAGAAGGAGGTTCAGAACTAGAAGGAGCCTATTTCTATAAAGATTAGAAAAATTAGTAGAGCAAACAGTACACATTGAACACATACAAGATTCATGCGTGATTTCACTGTTAGCCACAGAGACACTTTCTGAACTACATAGTGCTGGGAAAAAAAAGACAACACTTAAATTCAGTTTCATGATTGGGTTATCTTTTAGCTCACAACATTTGTTTGTCCAATGAAGCTCTGGCATTTGGAGAGTCAATGAGAAAAACAAATTTCCTTATGAATAAAACATTGTGAACCAGTAATCAAGAATTGGAGTGATTCTAAAATAAATATGCTTGTCAAGATACAGGTATGCTTTCAGATGGCAGATATATCTTTTTTGAGTGTATTCTACTGCTAATTTTATATTGGATGTAGAAAACATTTTTTTTTTTTAAGAAGTAGATTTGGAACTTATAACACTCTTCTGGCATTCTTCTGTCATGTCCTTAATAGGAGAAGACTTCAAAAAATTTGTGGAGGGACCAGCAGTTAGCATAATGCTATGTTGCTGAACTCCCATGTAGTCAACTGTGGTTCGAGTCCTGGACCCAGTAGCTTAAACTCATGCCAGGTGCGTGTGCGTGCGTGCCCAAGATCCTGTGAGGAGAATGGAGGAGAAGGGATTGCAGTGTGGCCATCCCCCTTAGGGGGTGATTTCTTGCTTTCTGTCTCTCTGTCTTTCTCTGTCGTTCTGGTGAGCACATGTGCCCTATGGCAAAAAGAAAACATCTCCAACAACAACAACAAAAACGTTTGTGGGGGAACCAGCAGTTAGCGTAATGGCTATGTCACTGGACTCCCACGTAGTCAACCGCGGTTCATGTCCCGGACCCGGTGGCTTGAAACTCACGCTAGGCGCGTGTGCGTGCGTGCCCAAGATCCCAAGAGGAGAAAGAAGGAGAAGGGATTGCAGCGTGACCATCCCCCCTGGGGGGGTGATTTCTCGCTTTCTGTCTCTATGTCTCTCTCTGTCTGGCGAGCGCACGTGCCCTATAGCGAAAATCTCTCCAAAAAAAAAAGAAAAAAAAAGTTTGTGGAAAAATGCACTTAAAGTAGGAGTTTATTTTGGTGTAAATATTATTGAAATTCACACATACTTTTTTCATAATAAAAATTTTCCATGGTTTAAGAAAAATAAAAATTGTGGCTAGCAGGTGGCGTGTTGGTGAAGGCATTGGACTCCCACATGGCTGACCGTGGTTTGAGTTCCAGACCTGGAGGCTTGCACTTTGGAGTGAGGATGCACCCCTCCAATGGGATGAGGTCACACTGCAATCCCTTTGCCATTTGGAGATTTTGCCATTAGAATGTCAAACTTTATTTCTTCTTCTCATCAGGATTTTAGGTACAGAGGCACATGTACCCAGTGTGTTTTTAAGCCATTGGGCTGGATTTTGAACCGTGGTGAACCATGTGGGATTCAGCTTCCCATGCACAGCACTTAACTCTGCACTATGAAGCTGGTCCTCCATGAACGTTTAAAAAACCCCTAATTTTAAGACTTTAGAGTATAGTTGTCTCTGCTGTGTTTCAAAAGCTGAATATGTATTCAAGGCACTGATCTAATTATTTATGATTTAATATTACATTCATGTGTAATATTGCCTGCAAACCAGCTATTTAACTAACTGTACAATTTTGTTTAATGAAAAAATAAAGGGGAAGACATGATCTCTCATTCCTATGCCATATATTAGTTATCTATTAACAAAGGAAATGACCCTATGTCTAAAAAGTCTTTTTGCACAAATATGAGAAAACTTGAATATTGTAATAAGACCATGGTGATTTTTTACTGCCACTCCACATATATGAAGTATTTTCCTTTCAGTGAACTCACAAGACTTTGCGTGCCTTGAATGATCATTTCTAGTGACAGGTCCAAGAATATTGTTTCGGTGTTACTACTGGCCCAGATAACTTTCTTTACTCTCTTGGGAGTAGGATGGTTTCTACTACTGGGAGCTGTTGGATGGTGAACCCTGAGGAGAGCATTGTAGCTCCATGGCAGGAGGTGAGCAGAAGGCAGAAGGCATAAGGCAAAGCTTTGTGAAGTTTCTGCTCTTGGCTTTTGTGGACCTCTACCTTGCCCATACAAAAAAGAGAATGGGGGTAAGAGATTTTTTTTTTTTTTGAAAGGTCTCTTTTAGAGCAGGTCAAAGTTTTCTTCCTTATAGTTACTTTTCACCTTGCGATTCCGTAAACCAGGCAGGCCCAGTGTGCTGTGGACATTCAGTGAAATTTGTTAGCATCTGCTTTCCTTTTTCGGTTTTCTTCAAGCTTATGGCAGATGGATGGTGGGAGTTCTAGGTAAGTGCGTGGGGCCAGTGCATGCTGGTAATGGAAGGCCCCCTGCCTGGTGCAGCAGCTAAAAACCTGGACCGTCAACTCTCCTCTAACTTTAATGATCCCTGCCTCCTCTCCCCTAGACATTTAGACACGTCACTCTGGCTGGCCGAACTTGGTGGAAGAGAGCGTGTCTCTTTACTCAGGATTATGTGGCCCCTACTGGCTGCCACAGTTTGGCAGTTTCAGCATGTGAATCCCCCAGAGCTACAGCTCCCTCTTCTTTATCCTGAAATGCCACTGATGTCTGTAGGAGGGCATAACAGAGCTAGAAGTACCAGAATAGGCTGATGAGGACTACCAAGGAAAGCCAGTGGTCCAGCTGTGGGGAGTGTAGTGGGCTCCCAGGAAAAGTTTGCTGGAGACACATGATGGTGGAAGTGTCTGGCACTGAGCTGTAGCTTAGAACATGACTATGTTATATTCATATTAGCAGATAGACACAACATTCCTTAAATTTTCCTGTCATGGCTTACTTGGTTCAAAATTTTGACTGAAAAATTCTTGTCTTTAGAACCTCCAGGGTCTGCCTTTTTCCTTTATGTGTTTTCAAAATTAAAAATTTCTCTTAGACAAGGCTTTGATAACTGTATTCACACTAGGGGGAAAGAGACTAGCAATTCTTTTTTTTTTTTAAAGAATTATTTTATTTAACTTTGTTATTTATTTATTTAATTTGACCAGAGAGTGACAGAGAGAGAAAGTGAGAAGGCAAGCTGTCTGGTCCGGGACTTGAACCATGGTCAGCCATGTGGGAGTTCAGTACCCTTAACCACCAAGCCACCTACCGGTCCCAGAGACTAACAATTCTTAACTACTGTGTCTACTAGAACTATTTATGTTTAATTGGGAATCTATAAATTAAGAAACTGAAAAAATGGTAGGTTTTCATGCATCATGAACTTTTTGTGGGGGGGAGTGCAAAGTTCAACCTACTTTGTGCATGTGAAATAGAAAAGCGTAGGTGTCTGTATACCCTATGTATCAATATATAGATGGCCCCTGAGAGCATAGGATAAAATAATCATCTTATTTTTAAAACCCATTAAAAAATCAACTCTAATTCATATGCTGAGCTGGAAAACAGGAATATAAGGCGATATCATGATAAAAGGCAAGGAATTTGGAGCATTCTGTTTATAAGATACTTTGATTGCTAGTCCAGAACTTTGTATTGTTACTTTGTCTGGAATAGGTTTTCCTGTTTTCATTATTTTAGTTAAGGGGCATGATTAGTTGTCTGGAAACATTAGTCACTTCCTGTCATTTTCCATGGGGTAGATGTGATGACATGGTTGAGGGAGAAGGAATACACGTGTTCAGGAGGAGCTGGCTAACATCTAGGTTCGAAAAAGAGGGGTTTCATGGTGGGTAATGTTGCAATCCACCACAGCCAGTGCATTTCTCTCTTCTAAGTCTTCTGTGTTGTTTTAAAAATAAGTTTAAGATACAAAGTGTGATCAGCAAACAAAGATCATCCTTCCAAAGGAAAAGAGCTTAGCATCGCCACATTTTCATTGTGGCACATACCACTCAACGGAAGGAAGAAGATATATAAGTGATACTTCCCAAGAAGTTAGAAATCTTCAAGTAACTGAATTCATAATCGGTGTGCCAAATTTAACTACTTAAAAGAATGGAAGAATTTGTATTATTGTCAACCTAAGATTGGTTTATGGGTTTCAGAGGAAGAACAATTCTTGAGTTGTGTAGATACTACCACTGCCATGGAATTGTCAGGCTCTGCTTGCAGGGTTAGCTGGTATCTGATGATTATTGCTTTCTAGTGAGCATCTTCTAATAGAGGCATTTAAGTTATAGTGTTCAAATATCCAGAACCCATAGATCTGGATAATTTGACATATATCTTTGGCCAAGGTAAGTACAACAGTTGTAACTGATTTTTTAGGTGCCTATTTACTTTGTATAAATAATAACTAGATTATACTATTTGAGTGATAAGGAATCTAAAATTGAAATGCTATCTCTTCTAGAAAAAAGTGTTACAATTATTTTCCATTCAATGTTAAAATAGCTAGATAACTATAAAGCTATAAAAACTTTATAAAGAATGAGAAAGGTAAATATATAGAAAATAGAAAAAATAAATATGCTAGATTAATGACGACCATGCAAAGTTAGATGTTATAGATGATGTAAGGTAAACTGACATTTTATCTTAAGATGTACAAAAATCAAGGAAATAAAGTTAAGAAAACTGTAAGAGTATAGAGAAACCAGACATAGCAAAATAATAAAGTACTCTCTGAAAATAAAATTTGTTTCTTGTATTTTCCTGCAAAATTAAGGCAATTTGTTAATGTATGGAGGAAATTTTAAATCACAGCAAGGCACAAACAAGGAGTTATCAGATTCTGGTGGGAAAAGATATGTTATTTATGATCCAACATATTAGTGACCCAAATACACATAATACATAACATCCCAGGACAGAAGACATTTATGAATGTCAATTAATGCAATATACAGATAAGGCAATAACTTATTTTTACCGTTAGAAGTGAATTAATTACTTAAATGTTGTGATAATAATTCAGAGCAGCATTAAGAAAAATCTCAGTATATATTCGTTTGTGAAGTGGCCAGAGAAGCTGAAAGTAAGAGGGTTTGTTAACACCAAGAGAAGACTGTCACATGACTAAACAGCAGTGGCATGCTTTGTCATTTTTATTACCTGTTAAGGATGGGTCCTCAGTGCCATCTCCAGCTATTGGGACATCAAGTGGAGAACGGTGAACAGGACTGCCCAGGCTTTCTTCTTGCTCTTTCAGAGATATGGAATTTTTGTGGGGAGATTTATGGTTTGTGTTCTCATGGGGACTAACTTCTGGTCTTTTTCGAGGAAGTGGTGTTGGTTTGGCCGGCTGGTAAACCTGACTGTAGGGAGCTACAGGATGGTAGGACGGCTTCTCAGCTTCTCCTTCCCCCTCCTCTTCCTCATCATCAATCACAACCAGCTCAGCGTGGATGATCCCATCATACCCTGTTAGAAGCTTCTTTTCTTCTTCACTGTCCTCTGCCTGCTGATACCCCATGAAAACCATTGTCACAGGTTCTGTGTCATCCATGTTAGAAGGCAGGGAATGAACAATATTGTATCTAACGTCTTCCTCATCCTCCTGGCAAGCAGGGGAAGAACATTGGGGTTCGGACTTTCCAACTATCGGATCACTGGGGCTCAGCCTTGTCTTTGGAGAGGGTGCATATTTGTTCTGCATGGGATTTGATTCTCCCCAAGGAGCTGTCAGCCTCTTTTGTGGAGTGTGGAGCATCTCTTCTGCTTGTCGAAATACTGAGCGGGGATGAGGTGTTGGCTGAATGGGACTGACATGATTTAAGTCGGCCCTTTCCTCTGAAAGTCCATTGTCCATACTGTGTATGGGTTCATTTGCTTTATTGCTCAGTCCATTAGCTTTAGTCTTTATCCTTTCTTGAAAGTTTGGTCCAGGTGTTACCTTTTCTCTTTGTGGGGTTGTGGGCCTGCAAAATGGATTGGCATACACAGGCTCATGATACTCTGTGGGGGATTTAGAGTTTCTCTCCGAGGCTTGTCTTAAAAGTTCTTCTACCTCAACTGGTGCCAGGCCATCCGTGCCATTGTATGCTGCATTGTGATTAGAGCTCACTGCGTACACTGACTTTTGCCCATCATCATAAACTTTTATTCCTGTACCTTTAAAGTCATCTGAGGGGAGAGGTATTGAAGACAGAACTGTACTTTCTCCAGTCTTCAAGTCTTTTTCAACTTTAATTTCCATGGCATACAAAGCTGTTAAGAGACAAATTTCATCTTTGATTTAATTAACTTTCTTTTTTCACTAACTAGCTTGCTTTCACAATGTTTTTATTTTTTATTTACTTAAAAAATGATTTATTTTCTTTCATGAGAGCAAGGCAGACAGAGAAAGAAAGAGAAAAGACAAACATCTTCAACAGAGTGTTTACTCTGTGACCCTCCACTTACCTTCCCAGTCAGCCAGGATCACAGGCATCCTTGCATGCTTCTGATGGGTACAGGCCTACCTGGGAACCAAACCCTCATCTTCCATATGGCTTCCCGCATTGTGGAGCATTGCACTATCACTGCCATTGTACCTGGAACTCACAGTTTTTATTTTTCTACTAAGAATTCCCTTTAATGTTCTTTAAATGTTGTCTATTTTAAAAATTTCAAATTTTTACTCCTTCAGTATCTAATGACCAATGCTGTAATAACATAGATTTTTATGTAAGTGCATGGAATTATTGAAAAAATGGAAAGGATTGAAGAAGAGGACCTGATTGGAAAGAGGCAATACTCCACATAGTAGAATTTTCATGGGGGAACTAAGTGAAAGATACCTTCTTTCCAATGACAAAACCCAATGTAACAAATGTATACTTTCTGCGGGGGTGGGGTGGGGTGGGGTGGGGGGGATTGATCTCTAAGAGGAATCAGTTGCACTATGTACTGCAGTAGGTAGACTGTCTAGTGCAGTATTATTTTATTAAGTTACAGCTTGTTGCACAGACCATTAGCCTGTTGCAATTATAGAGATGTGGTCTAAGTTTTCACAAGAGGGAGGTGGTTTAAATGTAGAACTGCTATTAAACAAGGAAGGAGAAGTTTAGAATCACATACTTCTTTTTTTGCTCTGTGTTTCTTTTTCATTATGTTTTTCCACTCTCTTTCAAGTACCAGAAGGGTTAAACATAGAGCAAAAAGCAAGTGTCCTGAAACAACTGGACTGCAGAGAACTGGCTGATGCGGGGAAACTGAGGTCTACTGTATGACCTAGTTAAGATCCCGATGGCTGGAATTTTAATTGATTATATAATAGAATTCTGGCCAAAATGACAATGTGGCAATGCTTGCTTTTGTTGCATCTTCTCACCTTTTTTTTTTTTTTTGCAGTGATCTTGCATTTCACACCTGCTCTGCAGCCTGGTGATCCTTGGCCTTTCCTGTCTACTTGACTAAAACTGCAACGACCCTCACTTACACTCCCTGTCCCATCTCTCTGCTTTATTCTTCTGCATTTCACTCCCTACCACGATATGTATCAAGTTAATACCTACTATGTGCCAACTTCAGCCAGCACGTAGTAGGTATTCACCAAATATTTGGTAACTGTTTGTTGAATGAATACATGACTATTACCTGCAGATAAAGAGTAGCTGCTCCTTCCACTCTAAAATTCAAATGATTACTCTAGGCTCTAATAAAAGCCTTTATTTTTACAGAAGCTTTGAAGTATTAGTTTTATAAAAATCATTCCCCCATAGAGGTAAATGATGCCTAACCTTCCCAAAGGGAATTTTTTATTTTCAGAAGGGACCTTAGTAACCCAGAAGAATATCTACTATAATAGATGGAATATGTCAGGAGAGAAATTTTTGACCATCGAAGCATTGCTTTCAAGAACTCTTGTTTCGTTCAGGTCTTTATCGCCTCTGTCCCTACCTAGTTAGCTAGGAAGTAAAGTGTATGGGATAGCTTTCTCACTTTCCCTCTATATATCTCTCTGTCTTTCTCTAGTGAGTACATTCGCCCTCTGGCAAATTTTTATTATAAATGCATGCAATAAGTGCTCTAACCTCATTATCCCTACCTATGCAAGTGACTCACATACCTCATGAAACTCCTTAAGATGCACCATTACTAAACCTGGAAGCATAAAATGTCACAGCAATTGTGGATATTTGACATCGTAAAATCTGAAATCGAGAACATACCATTAAACACAGTGTTCTTATATACCTTTTCTATTTTGATCATCATCTTCTAGTCCTTCATTTCTTTCCTTCCTTAATCTGGAAGGTATGTAGGATTTTGGAAGGTCAGGGATATTAGCATAGATGTCCTCAATGGATTCTGCAAAATTTATATAAATTCAAAATACATTTAGAGTACGTTTACAGTAATAGGAAACATTTTGGTGGGCTTATCAAAAATATAGCTACAAAATAGGCTGCTCAAAACATACCTTTTGATGTTTCTTCCTTTTCCACCTTCACAGACTATAAGAAAAAAGAATTCTCCATGATTAATACAGTTTAAAAAATAAAATTTAAATGTGGATATACTTTGAAGATTTAAATAACATCTGTAGATTCCTTTTGGGAGGGAATCATAATTTTAAAATTAGTTAATGCTCACTCTTATTATGTCTTCTGTTGTCCTCTCAATTGATTTTAGTTTCTTTAAAATCGCCTCTTCATTGGTTGAGATTTGCAGTTCAGCTTTTTCAAGGTCTTGAATTTCTTTCTCAAGCCTGGCAACAAAAAGATAATACTTGTTATTGCATAACACAATACAAATACAGAATTCTCAAAAATATCTTTGATCCATGTAAACTTTTTTGGCATAGTGCACTTAAGTAGTCAGACACCTTCTAAAACACAGTTTCACACTTAGCTTCACAATGAGAACCATACTTAATAATGATAGTACCTAACACTTCATTTTTTTTTTTTTTGGAGAGGTTTTTGCTATAGGGCACGTGTGCTCGCCAGACAGACACAGAGAGACAGAGAGACAGAAAGTAAGAAATCACCTCCCAGGGGGGATGGCCAATCCCTTCTCCTCCATTCTCCTCTTGGGATCTTGGGCATGCACGCACATGCGCCCAGCGTGAGTTTAAGCCACCGGGTCCGGGACTTGAACCACGGTCGACTATGTAGGAGTCCAGCGACATAGCCATTATGCTAAGTGCTGGTCCCTCTAACACTTCATTTTGAACTATTATTTTATTATTTTTTTTGGAGAGATTTTCACTATAGGGCGCGTGCGCTCGCCAGACAGAGAGAGACATAGAGACAGAAAGTGAGAAATCACCCCCCAGAGGGGATGGTCACGCCGCAATCCCTTCTCCTCCATTCTCCTCTCGGGATCTTGGGTACACACGCACATGTGCCCGGTGTGAGTTTTAAGCCACCGGGTCCAGGACGCGAACCGCGGTTGACTATGTGGGAGTCCAGCAACATAGCCATTACGCTAACTGCTGGTTCCCTGAACTATTTTTTTTTAAGAGAGGTTTTTCTTGTAGGGAACATGCACTCACCAGGGAGACAGAGAGAGACAGAGACAGAAAGCAAGAAATCACCCTCTGGGGAGGATGGTCATGCTGCAGTCCCTTCTCCTCCATTCTCCTCTTGGGATTGTGGGCACTCATACACATGTGGCCATCATGAGTTTTAAGCTGCAGGGTCCAGGACTTGAACCACAGTTGACTGAATGGGAGTTCAGCAACATAACTGTTATGCCATCTGCTTGTTCTACTTTGAACTGTTTTTGATTCAAATTTTGTTTGTTTTTTGACAAAGAGACTTCTTAGATAAAGCATTTGGACTTTGTCCCATTTTTTTGTTTCAATGATTAATGTTACCTCCAAGAAGAATAGAACAATTTATTTTACAAAGAGATAAGCATGAAGTTGAACCAAAATGAATGGGACAGTTGTAGTTACGTAGTTTATCAATTTTTTGCTATGCAAGTTTCTATATAAATTATTTAGAGAAAACATTCTAAGTATTAAACATTATAATTTAGTAACCATGCTTATTTAATACTTAAAACCCTGCATATTTAATATTGAAAATGACACAGTTTTAATTTTAGTTTCCTAAGGCTGGTGTCATATTATAGTGAGTAGGGGGAAGAGATGGGAAATGGGCAAAATTTAGTACGGTAGTCTAAATTACTGCTGTTCTTAGAGAGTATATTTTCTAGAAACAAAACAAAACAACAAAATGGCCAACTGTGGTCTGAAATATATAATGGAACTTACGGAGCAAAGAGCAGACATTTGAAACTGGACTGCTATAAACATTCTGACTGGTCTCTTGATCAACATGCAGCTGCATGTCAGATTCAAATGAACTCCAGTGGACGTTGTTGTGACCTCTACTCTTTATGTAAACACACAGCCACTAGCAATCATGCAGTTAGTAAGGCTACGGCAGGCCCTTGGCAGCCAGAAAACATGTAGTTTCTCAGCCAAATACTCTAACTCTAAAGTCAGCTGCCTCAGAAGATAACTGATTAGATGTAACAGCTGGTCCAGGAGATGACAGCTGTAGATATTCATGTCAGCTGAGATAATTGTTAGTTTTCTTGGCTTCATTCTTAAAGATGGTCATGGGCCTGGCTTCTCCCATGCTAGTGTCATACTAGTAAAAGCCCAAGATGTGGTCTGCTTGACAATTCTCCTACTCATGGACTAAACTTCAAAGTTCTGACTTGGCCATCAGTAGGTGGCTATTTACAGCTGAAAAGGTTTCCCTGTATACCACAGGACTCTAAGCAAAAAGTAGTACCCCTGGTTTTTAGAAGTTACTAAGAAGTGACTGCCATTCTATTAAAATTCCTCCATATCTGGGGCCAGTGGGTAGCATGGTGGTTGAGGTGCCATATGGCTGACCACAATACAAGTCCCAGATCTGGCAGCTTCCTTTCTTGCTTTCCCTCTCTGTCTCTGGCAAATTAAAATAATAACAATAAATAAAGTTAAATGAATAATCCTTTAAAAAATTCCCCCATATACATGGTAGCTTGTGTGCTTATCAGCAGAGTTGTGGGGCTACATGTTGGTCCAGTTTGGTAGAGTGGACAGCTCTGTACCGAAAGTGTTAAAGTTTCAGTTCCATTTGGTCTGTGCCATTCTCTTCTTATGAAATCCAGCTTTCTTTAATTTTTCTTCTTTTTAAAAAAATAATCATTTTATTTAACTTTATTTATTTATTTGTTTGTTTATTTATTTATTTAAATTTGTCCAGCAAGGGATAGAGTGAGCAAGCAGGTGAGAGAGAGAGGGAAAGTAAGAAAGTAAGCCACTAGGACCGGGACTCAAACCACGGTCAACCATGGGGGAGTCCAACTCCCTTCACCACCATGCCACCTTCCTGAAACTCAGTATTGTAATGTGTATAATGAGAATGAAAATGCCTACCTTACCTTATACAGATACTTAGTAAAGCTAAGAAGAGATGATACATGAAAGAACGTCAAAAAGTTTATGGAAAATGCAATTACGGCATGACTTTACACTGAGTGTAGCTGATATCAATTGTATGTTTATTATAGTATAATTCCTAACGACTTTCTGCAACAGACTGTGTATCTTTCATATGCATGTTAGAGACAGTCTACCAAAGGGTCTTTTGGTAGAAAACAAGGAGGTTCAAATAATTGCTTCAAGAAACTCTTGGAACTCAAAGTATAGAATCAGGTGGATTTAGCTTTGCTTTTTGGTTTATCTGCCAACTTCCTGTGTCATCCTAGACAAATCACCTGACTTCACTACATCTCAGTATCTTTATTTATTTAAAAATATATATTTAGAATTTACTTTGTTTAAATTTATTTATTTTACATTCATTCACTATATATCATCCCAGCATACAAAATGAATTTCCCCACCCAGAATAAACTGTATACTGGCCCAATTGAAGATATTACTGTACATATTATCTTCAACAGATGCTTTCCATTTTCTGTTTCTTATATATTTTACTTCTTTTTTTCCCCTTGATTCCCTCCCTCTCACCCTTTACCATTTCTCATTCTCCTCCCACACTGTCTCTGGTATCCACAGTTGCTCTTCATGAGTTTATACCATCCAATATTTCAGTTTCTGTCATAGAGTGCCGACATTCAGTATATATTAAGTGGAGACATATAATGTCTTTCTTTCATAGTCTGCCTTACTTCATAGAATTTACTTTGTACCAGGCATAATATATGTGCTAGGAAGATGACAGTAAACAAACCAGATCCTTTGCCTTCAAAGAGTTTATATTTTAGGGGAAGATAATATTCTAAGATTGGCTGGAAACCTTTTCCTATGAAGGGTCAGATACTAAATAGTTTAGGCTTTGTAGGCTACACATGATTTCTGTTGCATATTAATCTTTTTCCTTCTTTCTCTTACAACTCTTTTTTTTTTTTTTTTGGAGAGGTTTTCACTATAGGGCGCGTGCACTCGCCAGAAAGACAGAGACAGAGAGACAGAAAGCGAGAAATCACCCCCTAGGGGGAATGGCCACGCCACAACCCCTTCTCCTCCATTCTCCTCTTGGGATCTTGGGCACGCACGCACACGTGCCCGGCATGAGTTTAAGCCACTGGGTCCGGGACTCAAACTGCGGTCGACTATGTGGGAATCCAGTGACATAGCCACTACACTAACTGCTGGTCCCCAAGCATGAGCTTATTTTGATGCAAAAAATTTTGAAATTCATGCATGGTGTTTCTTTAATACGCATTCTCCACAATTTATTGAAGATCCCTCATATTTATTTATAGGGAAAAATATTTTTATTAAAAAAAGAAGGATAAAGGCTACAAATAAAAAATAAGGGAAACAAAGAAAACCTGGGAGGGCATGCTATTTTCCAAAGCACAAATACTGCCATTCGAGCAGACATGAAGGGAGTGAGAGCAGGACACGTGAAGGTTTCAGGATGAGTGTGCTCCAGGGAGAGGGAAGAGTGACTGTAAAGCGTGAAGTAAGAACAGAGGCTGTCAGGAGGTGAGCAGGGAGAAAGGATGTCAGAGAGGTAAGAGTTAGCGAGATCATATAGAGCCTTGTTTATAGAAAGGCCTTTGGGGAGCCATCGGGAGTTCTGAGCAGGAGCGAAACATGCTGTGACTTAAAATTTAAATAATTACATTAGGTGCTGGGTTGGAAATAGATTGGGGGCAACAAACATGGAGGTCAGCTGTAATAACCTGGATGAAGACAGTTTAAGCTAGAGAGATTGCCATTAGAAGGTTGAGAAGTGATTTGACTCTGGAAATATTTCAAAGAGAAGAGCTGCCAGGATTTACTGATGAAATATATGTGGAGTGTGAGAGAGACATGTCCAGGGTGAGTTCAGTATCTCTGACCTAATAATTGCAAACATGAAAATGCAGTTGGCTGGACAGAAATCTGGGAGAGAGAAGAAAGGAGGTTGGTGGGAGATGGGTTAAATTGGAGACAAGTGTGATGTGAAGACAATCATCTCTAAGTCTGAAGCTCAGGGAAGCCTTGCTTGGAAGATATAAATTTGTGGGTTGGTATTTATAACTATAAAGTGAATAAGATTTCTTGGAAAGTCAGGGAGATAGGTAAAAAGTCTAAGGACTGGGCCTGGGGCCGCTTAATGTTAACTACTTCATAGTTTTAAAATAAGAAATAAAACAAATAGTGAGCACTCAGTGAATGCTAGTTTTTTCCTGTCTGTCTCTATTTCTAGAACACAGAGGAGGAGCTCTTGGTCCATCTGGCCA